ATGTTCATAGTTATACTGTAGTTATAGAAGCTAGTTTAGTTTAAAACTGAAAAACAAATGAATCCAAGATATTGTGACAGGCTTTCTTAAACCCACTTTTCCTCTATCATCCTGGATTACTGTGCTTTTTTCAAAAAAAGTAATAAATCCTCAGGGGTGCCAACATTTATTGCCCCATTCCTAAACATGTAGTTTTTCCATTCTGTTAACGTTGACATCAACCATTCTAATGACCGCAACATACAGCTGCCATTGTGTGCAATAAAAAGAAAAAACATCGAACAAGAGACAGATTATATCTAAATCCCAACAGCATAATCACCATGTTAATTTAGTGGGTTTGTAGAGAAAAAGTATTTTCCACACAGATGTTATCGTTGCTGCATCACAGCAGCATGCAGAGGAAGACAGCTTGGCTGCTAAAATGTGGCTAACCAAGTTAGCTGCTTTTAGCTGGACGGTCTGCAAAGCTAGCATGCTGGAGCTAACGTTAGCAGCAGCAATCTCAGTGACAGGGAGCGAACAGACAGTAACAAAACACTCCGGCTAACTACCGTTATGTGGCTATAACTGCCCCTGTTCCTCGCGCGCGACTAACACATATCATTATGTGTTCAATTCGTCGTGACAGTAAGCTAACCCAGCAAGCTAATATTATTTTGGCTAACCATTTTGCGGCGCTGGAGCATGTCAATTCAACACGGAGAATCGAGACAAGGCAGCCGAGAATACAGGCGGGCAAGGCGGGCTGAACTCTACCTTTAGCCGCCGGAAAACCAGACCACTTCGCAGCTGTATACACACTCACAACTATATTTTTTACAAGCGGGGCTAAACATGCTATCAGTTTACAACCCAACAGATTTGCTTATTTTTTTTATTTCTTACCTGTTAGGGTGAATTGTGATAAATCGTGTCCTCCTCTGCAGCTCTCTTCCCCCTCCTAGCTCCAAAATGGCGCCAATATGCATAGACTCAGTGCCCATGGGTACAAACTATAGGTGGGGGAGTAGCGCCACCTAAAGGCGAGTCAGAGTAGTGTTGTTAGGACGTTCACGTGACGCGCTTATGTCAGTAAATCTCGCTTTTTGTATTGAAAAGTGTCATTTTCAATTAGTCACTTCGAACTCCGTATACTGTAGGGCTTATATTTTATAGAAATTTTTGTTTAGTAAACAATAAATAGATTTAAGCAGAATAAATTGTTTTTTTTGTTTTGTTTATTATTGCCATCCAGTTTAATTATAAAAATACTGGCACAATGTGTATGTACATGGGTCATTGGCCGACAATAGGGACATAAGAACATTAATATGAACATTTTAAGATTTTTTTCTGATCTTCTGGTCCTTTAAACTCATATATGCCAACTCAGAAAATCGAACATGATTATTATTTTATTTTTTTGCGAGCACTTAAACATAACATTATTCTACGATCAAAATAGCAACACAGTATACAGACTTTATTGAACGCAAAGTCTGTATTCTGTTTTTGAGTCCTCCATGTACGTAAGAGGATCAGGGCCAAAAAAAATAAAATATAAAAGGTAAAAAGGTAAACTGATTTTTTTTTTATTATTATTTCAGTTTAATATGGGCAGTGGCACGGGAAGGGGGGTGCTGCGGGGGCTGCAGCCCCCCTCGTCATAGCATCAGCCCCCCATGGTGGGGGGCTGTGGAGTAACATAATATT